CTACAAATTGTAAACGTAACAACAATGACTAATGTGTTACAAAAAGGCGAAGGCATTTTGGCAAAGTTAGGAGTCTGACGGTAAAATAATCGACAAATCTCTTCGGCGTCAATGAACAAGTGAGTTAACACAAGCGCAAGTCACAAGCAATATCCCAAACATTTTCAGAGAAATCACTCACGCGCAGTAATACGAGAACTGGGTTTTCTCTGCAGTCTTTCTCCTCCATTTGTAAACACAGAATTAATTATTTTAAGCTTAAGCTTCCGTACATTAAACGCGAGGCCTGATTTACATCACCTTTCCGTCTTAGGAGCCTTGACAGCTGTTGTATTTCATTTTTCTGGCGGCAGTACAGGAATACGATAATTTTAAAACTCGACTGAAATAAAAGGCTTAAGTTGTTGCCAAGTACAGTGCCCTCGGCAAAAAAAAAATTTTTAGATCCCGCATAGGTTTTCAGGCCTAAATTCACCTGTCAAAATTTAAACTAACCTCGGGGGGCTGGGGAGAGGGAGATTAGGTTGTTTCTCGAGTGTGACCAAAGGCGTGACCAAGTAAAAAGTAAAGCCTTATAAATTAATTTCCGTACATTTGGTCTTAAACCAATCACAGGAAATGGCAATCTAGATTAGTGCTCAAGCAACTCCGTTGGTTGTTCCTAGAATAGCTAATTTTTCGAGAAAACTAAACGCAACGTACACGTCTGAATATCTCTTCCCTACCCTACTGAGTTTTCTGCCGACTTGACTTCACGTTTAGTGTGAGTCACACATATGTACAAGGATGGCTAAAAAACCTTCCAACCTTATAATTACGACCATTTTAACACGAGTTCCCCCTTTTCCCATAAAATTGTAGGACACCACAAAGGAAAGCAAGGTAAACTAAATAAAACAATAATAACAAAGATAAAATCATTTAAAATGTAATACTTCGATCGCTAATTGTTTCAAACTATTTAATTTTTTTATATCTCTTCATTTCTTATATCTCGGAGCCTGTTCTGGAAAGAAATCATTCCCAACATGAACAAGACAAAGTATACTTGTCGTCAGTTAAATAGCAAGGCCATAAAAAGTGCAGCATTATGCTTTGTGAGCGCGATAATCGTGGGAAAGTGTAGTATTGTAAAAGCGCAATGCGTATGTAAAATCGACGAAGGACGACTACAGAAAGCCTAGAATGACGTCTGTAGTAGTATGTTGCTTTTCGCGCTTATAGAAGTCCTTTTTGCATAAGAGCGATTTTTATATCCTTTCACACGGGTGAGAAATGTAGCATTTTTCTTTGGAGCTATCAGTGCGCAAGGCCCCAAAAAAGCCGAGGAAAAAAAGCAGCAACTGTCGAAGAATACGAAAGTGACGAAAGCAACGATGAAGTATTGACATCAAGTCAAGTAGCAAGTACTGGATTCCTGATTACCTCACCATCGTCAATGGAAAGTTATGCCCATGCATCAGCGCCCTTGGAATGCGACGTGGAGAATGTCGCACAATAGCTAGTAACTGTGAATAATTGCAATTAAAATTTGTCTTGTGTTCTTAGCGCTAAAATGTTTGAAAATCCAGACGTTTCGGGACTACTGTCCCTTCATCAGTGGAAGATGCCGTTACACTGAACGCGCGTCATTTTATTCAAATGTGGCAACATTTGAGGCGCGCGCTGGACGAGTTCGCTCAAATAAAATTGAAGTCAATGTTTATGCCGCGCAGCTGTAGAGTTTTGCATTTAAAAATTAGGCGGCCCTCCGCTCTACGTCTGTCCCAGGTGTTGTGAAGTCCCGCTCGCACAACAGCTACCATCATCACCAAAGCGGCAATAAAAAAGCTCATTCTACAGAGACCTTAAACATCCTGCTCACGGATAAGATACTCGAAGCAATGGATAAAAAGCAGATAACAGCACTAGTACTATTAGATCTATCCAAAGCCTTTGACAGTATAGACCATGCAAGGTTGCTCCACAAACTCTCCATCTTAGGAGCCTCGCCCTCTACTGTCAAATGGTTCAAGAGCTATTTAACTGGTCGCAGGCAATACCTGAGAATAGGCTCCGCCTACTCTGACACTCTACCTATAACTCACGGAGTTCCTCAAGGCGCAATCTTATCACCATTGTTGGTCTGCATTTGTCTCAACGATTTACCTACGGCACCCACGTTTTGCAACCTAGAATCGTATGTGGATGACTCAAAGCTATTCATGTCATTTCCTCTCGTTGAGCTTGATGCCGCCATTGAAAAGCTCGAACAAGACCTTCACAGTGTAGCTCAATGGTGCTGTGAGAACCATCTACTTATCAATCCCGATAAAACTAAACTCCTTTTCCTCGGTACCAGACAGATGTTAAGCAGGTTACCAGAAGACCCTAGAGTGGTATTCTAAAAACACTGAAGCCAAAAGACTCTGCCAAGGACTTGGGAGTCTTTCTTGACCCCCATCTGACCTACGATCACCATATTTCATGTGTAGTGCCATCTTGTTTCGCAAAGCTTTGCCAAATAAATAGAGTCAAAAGGAGCTTCGACAAGGAAACACTAGAGTTGTTAATAACGTCATTAGCCTTTAGTAAGATGCTTTACTGCTTATCTGTATGGTCAAATACTACACTCCAGAATATAAGCAGATTACAATCTATTCAGAATTTTGCCAGCAAGATCGCAACAAACTCTAGGAAGTTTGACCAAGTAACACCTTTGCTTCGAGAGCTAAACTGGCTTCCTGTTAAAGAACAATTCTTCTATAGAGACTCCGTTTTGACCTTTATATGTCAGAACGATCTTGCGTCTCAATATTTAACGAGCAAGTTTACCAAGCGCTCAAATATACATACTCGTAACACTCGTACACGGAACTCTTTGCAGATTCCGCTAAACAGAACGGTTATAGGCCAGCGCACATTTTCCTACAGAGGGGCCTACACTTGGAATAACTTGCAAAATGAACTTAGGCAAAGTGCCTCTTTGGCATCTTTCAAGCGCGCCCGGAAAGACACACTATTGAGGCAGACATTTCCTTCATAAGCTCTAGAATTTAGTAGAATACCATCATAAATTGTGATTTCGAGTTTTTTATTATCATTTTTGCTTTTATAAATTGTAAATAGTTTGTAAATAGTCCCTGAAAAACCTCACGAGGATGTTACTATTAAAGTTATTATTGTATCATCTGTTGTGTGACCGGGGGAGGAAAACTTTTTAGCCACGGGCAGGCCAGCTTTCTTTGAGACAGATCTGAGGTGTTCGCAGAACCTGTCCCCAAGCCTACGTCCGGTTTCGCCAACGTACGACAGAGGGCATGCCTGCCAAGTTATGATATACACGAGGTTACTTGTCGTGCATGAGAACCTCTGCCGTATGATCAGAGGTCCACCTGGGGTGTTGATCTGGGAGGCTGGGTTGGTATGGGCGCAGGTCTTGCATGGTGGACGACGGCAGGGATAAGTTCCATTTGGTTTATCGCCAGTGTTTGCGCCGGATTGAAGGTCGCTACTGACCAAGGAATCACGCAGGTTGGTGTCGCGGCGGTACGCGAACTGTTCAGGGTATTGAAAGATCATAAAAATCAAATGTTTCAGGAATTAGTGAACGCTTCGTACGGACATTGCTTCCGGAATGAAATGGACAGCTTGCTGGGCAAAGAAGATTTTATGGACACTCAAGACTGTGGGACAGAGAAGGTAGCTAGAGTTTGGCTCACAAATTCGCGCTTCGGCTCCGCTTTGAAACGTTCAATCACCAAGCCTCAAGATGCAAAGTTACCGATTGATAAGTTTGGCTTTCACGCGGACAACCCACAGGTTGAGATGAAGAAACAAGACTTTCGAATAAACTGACTGTGCTCGTGAACGACATAGGACTGGCAATGAAAAAGATGGAGTACGCCCTCTTTCGCGGAAAAATTCACAAAAAAGTTCCATCGGCCAAGTACACTTTCGCTTACAAATGCGATGTCCGCGTTTTCATCAATAGCCTTGCAGCGAACGAGTTCTTTAAAGCACGACTGCTAAAGGACATGAGAAAGACAATCGACATCCTTTCCGACTCAGACTGCGAGGTGATACGTCCAATCTCCATCGACTACAATCTCATTGAGGTAGATGGTGGACACTGTTGGTCCATCAAAGAAAGGCGCTTTGTTAATAAATAACCTTGTTGCAGACGAGAAGATGGGCGTCGTTTCAGCGTTTACCAGGTACGATCCAGACAAAGAGCCCGACCCAAAATACTTCAAGGAGATTTGGAGAACAGCCTCTCACAAGCGAAAATACGTGAATATTGCGAGGATTTCCTCAAGCTGCTCACCTTCAACAAGGAAATGCCATAAGGATAAAGTTCCCTGTCGATACAAACAGTGGCAAAACGAGCCTTTCCATCCAATTCTCGAGATTGTGCACCACACAAACATTCCAACAATCACCAAGCAGAGGGTATTCAAGTCTCCCGGCTCCCAAGAAAAGCGCCTCGGCATGGCTGCCAAGATATTCGATGGAGTTCATCGTTTGGCCTGCAGTGCAAGCCAGGGCATGCACGACATCAGCTTCAGAGGACGAGCTGAGTGATAAGGAAATCGCAGATGAAGCAGTATTGGCAGCGGCAGACAAGGAACAGATTCGTGCGTTGTGCATGGACGAGGGACTGGACGAGCGTGATGGTTCACCTGTCGGAGTGAGTGTGCAGGGTGCAACGGACGAGACTGAGGATGATTCGGACGCGAGTAGTCAGGATGAACAGACCATCAGTGCGTTGAGAAGAGTTATGGAGCCATAAGCGAACAAGTGGCCCTACTTCCAAGGGATACATCGGAGCCCATGCCGAAACAAATTGAAAACGATCTGGCAGGCTTCAGGCAGCAGACTCTCCAAGAAGACTTGAAGAGAAAGCGAGAAAGAGCACTTCCGCCTTCCAAACACCTTGGCTACTAGAAATGGAGCAAGAATTACACAAGCTCACCTGGACCCTAGAGACGTCAGACATGAATCAGGAGAGAAGCATGTCTATGGAAGCCTATCGCGAGGTCTTGCAAGATAAGCTGACGAGGTTTCACCAGAACTATGGTACGGCCGGTTGCCATTTCGCCCTGGAGCAACGAAAGCGATCATGCGCCACCCTGGGTCTCCTGAAGAAAGAGCAAAGGTTTCTTGTCACCAGCCTCTTCCAAGTCCTGTCGAACGAAGACGGCTTGGGCGAATCTTTCGGATTGGATGGTCACAGAGATGGAAGCACCACCTGCAAAAAATCAGTGGATGCCGCACCTTCAATTACAGACACATTTCTGCTTAACGCCATTGCCACGCTCGAAAACGTTCAGTACAGCCTCTCCCAAGTGTCAGCGACGAGCCACTACCAGTGACTGCAGGAAGAGAAAGGGTGCTTCCTCGAGGAAGCAAAGCCAGCGAATCAAAACCTTTCGTCCAACAAACAAAATAGATAACCATTTCCCAAGTCAAAATTACGTTATTTTGTGTAATACGACAATAAAACGATGCTTGTGATGGTCCGAGTCATATTGTTGATTGCCTTTTTAGTTATATTTGAATGATGTCTTTTTATTCTGGCATAAATGTAAAGTTCTAGGGTAAGTTAGAAAGTGCTAGGGTAACTAAGAAAGTGATCCGAATCTTCGTGCTGCACGCCTCAGCAGTGAGTTGGCAGTCCTTCCCTTTTGAAAACGAAATTCGCTATCTCTGAGAATCGCTTTCCATTGACCGTAGCCGTATCGCTCAATGCCTGCTTTAAGATAATTTTCTTCTTCGGGGGTGAACATCAGACTCTTTTTTCTCGCCGGGAAACGTGATACTATAAAAGCATTTTCCCGCTCTAGTCTTGGGACACCTGAAACACTCTCGGGTGCTGTTTCTGCGATCGTTTATCCCTCGTCGTTTGAGGAAGTATCAGTTTTGCTACCATTTCGATCTTCAGAAGACGCAGAATCGCCTGAACGCCACGAGCGCACGCCAATTTCAAGCTCTGATCCTTTGTCTCCATACAATCTGTACAAATGTTCATGTGCTTTACTTGCCACCTCGCACGATCGTTGCTTCTGATAGTGAACCCTTGCAACAACAGAGTTATGTTTCTGGTCCTCGGAGATTGTGCTCTGCGCGTTGCTGCTCAGCTGTCTGGAACTCGCGGTCTCCACTATCTGTCGATAGCGAGTCGGGTGAATGTACTTTCCCGTTGCATCAAAGACCAGTTTACTCATTATCTCTCCCATCTTTAGGTGCTACCCTCCATTTCTTGTGGCCAGTACAAAGTCGCAGGTCGGTCTGAGTAGGGGTCGAATGTGGTTGATGTAGCCATCCAACACTTGCATGCTCGTCTCAGTCAGGTAAAGAGAATCGAAGCCATATTTGCCAGCCGTTTTGAACATTTTCTGGTCTACAAATCCACCGTTAGTCTTGGCTTTGTTCGCCATTTCCATTGTTAAGTACTGATATGACATGGGGCACGAGCCCTTGACGTTTATAAAAAAAATAGACGGCCACAAATTTGGTACCAAAAGATAAATCTGTTGGCAAAACAGCACCCGGTTTCTCCTTGCATGATGTCAGCACGCTGTCGTAGCGCGGCAAGTAGTGACCCACGACTTCTAAAAGTTCTTCTAGTGTGGCCCAGTGCCCCTTGGCTTCTAAGGCATTGATGTCGAGCTCACTGGTTCACTGAAACCTCATCATTTGGGAAACGGTTTTGCCCACCTTTTGCAAGTAAATTTCTGTTGAAGTCAGCTCAGTCAATACCGATTCCGATGCTCCATTCACTTTTCAATAATCCACCAATTCTGCAATGGCATCCAAGTAGCCTATGCGTCCGGCATGCCCGAGGTTCCAATCATCCTGCATCGCATCAACAAACTTAAAAAGGAGACTCGGTGAACATAAACTAAAGTCCACATATCAAATTTGACCTCCTCTTCGTCCTCGCAACAAAATTTGAGAAACTTTAGCACTTGCTATTGATCTGTTGTGGATGTTGATCACTTTTACAGCCCCAACCACTGTCAGTGAGCCACGAAAAAACGTTCTTGGCAATTTTGTTCGTAGGATCAAAAAAGACAATTGGCCTGCTTTTGCGTCGTGTAATCTTCTGATCAATGGCTTCACATTTTCTGGTTTCATCGACATTAAGCGTATCGATTTGAGCACTGTCTGGCTTCTCGTCGAAGTAATAGTACCAACTGTGCTTGTTCTTTACGTGTTTTCTACAGCATCTTTGCGTAGTAAATCCATCGTGGTTACAAATTTGCACTGAGCAGTGAAAAAGACCATCACAGTCATCCTCTTCTAAGTGACGTCTCTCTGGTTAAGGCGATGCATTTGTTAACTTTGATCAGTTGACATCCTTGCCTCGTTTGTTCATCTCAAGCATTAGGTTGAAATCGATAACTTTCTAATATACTAGCAAAAGGTTCCCCAAGAGATCATCCTATTCACCAATGGGATATTTGTTTACTCATCTCTGCCCACACTTGGTCATTCTTGCCCCTTGCCCCATTGTTTCCTCGTCCGTATTTGGTACACAATTAATCAAAAGGAACAAAGGCACAAGCCTGAACTTGCCCGGACCAGCCCCAACGAGATTAAGCAGGTAGCGGGCAAGTCTCTTACTTAACTTGATTGTTGAAGGATATATGTTTTGATAAATTTCTGTGGAGAAGGTGCTGGACAGTAATTTCAGATAGCCTATGATAAATAGGAGCTATTAATCCCTATTCCTTTTACGCTTTGCGCAAAAATGGAACGCTAGTTCCTTTGTCAAAAATTCGGAACCTGAAGAGGAGGAGTAAATTTGGTAGCAACGCTAAGTCAGCATTCAATTTAAACAGCCGAATTTAATTGAATCAAAAGTCGCACTTCACATGCATTTAACTCTCGCATTAAGTTCAGCACATGTGCAATTCGACGTTTTAGCCGGGCCTTAGTTATCCCACATTTCTTTGCAAAATTTCCATTGCTTACTGTTGGAATTTTTTCTAAATGTCCACTGCTACCGCGCGTGCGTCAAATTAAATTCTGGCCGTCCGCGGGGCCCTCTCTACACGAACTCTTGCTCAATCACCATGAAGGCTATACATAACCCACTTGCATTTGACGTTTTTCTTATCTTAGAAGCGCTGCTGGAAGCAAGATGGTCTGCTCTAGAAAGGAATTTTTTCATGAAATTACTGCCCCGACAGGGCCACCCAAAGTGAAAAAATTAACAACCGCCCTGGAGGAACGATTGCTGTTAACGCGAGGTAGGCCTGTTGGTCAGAGAACGACTTCGAACGAACCTTAATTCGTCACTGCCCTTTGCCAAAGTTCCCAATGGACCCAGTCCCAGGGCTATAATTTAGCCGGGAATGACTGCCGTAATACATGGTAAGAGCCAAAATTGCTTTTCTTGATAAGCCCGTCCCCAGGTTTGGTGGTCATGTTTCGCACGATTTTCCCATATTTTCATTAGCTTGGTGGCTTTGCACGAAGATTTCTAAACATAAACGGTCACGAAAGTATGAAACGCAGACAGCCACTGATTTATATTACTTAATTGCTTAGGCGGCGAAGCACGCAGGGGCCGATGAATTTTCAGAAGTTTTGAGCGATATAGCACAATTGTCAAAGTTGGGGCTAGGAAACACTAATCATGATCCCAAATCCACATATTCGTGTGTCCATATTTTCTTTTTTAACTCATCTTGTTTTAACATTAAGAGTTAAATCAATAAGGTAATCCAGAAAAGGACATTTCTCGCTGGTATTGGCCTGGGTCTTTTTATAGTTTCAAAAGCTTGCGTGCCGTCAGGGTGTGGGTGATTACCTGATCCTTGCACAGACGCGGAGAGAACCGTTGGAGTTGTTACAGCCGTTGCTGGAGCTGGGGCGTTAGTAGCCGGAGTAGGCGGCGGGAGAACATCTGTGGATATGCCAGTGTTTATCGCTCCGGTTAGTGCAGAAGATAATGAGGCAGTGAACAGATCAGGATGGATGGTCATTGCCGACGTGGTTAGCGCCTCTGTTGTTGATGTTAACGATCCGACGACAGCTGGAGTGACAGATGAAGATGCTGGTGTAGATAGCTCAGGTGATGGCCTGGTGCCAGCGTCGAGAGCCGAAGTGGCGGGAACGTCTGAAATTTATTTTCAAAAGTAAAAGACGTAAAAGAGTTATAATAATAATGATAATAATAATAATAATAATAAAATTTTAAATCCCCTATTAGATTTTATGGAGATATACAATATTAAGTTATGCAAATAAAACTATTAAAATGTTTTGGACTTATATCTTCCCTTAGACATCGTTTCCATAAAACTTTCCAATAGATCCGCCCTGTAGTGATCGCATATTGGGTTTCCTGTACCAGTGCTTGTAATGCATTGTGGGAAGAGTGTGAATATATGGCGGACTGAAATGTGCGTCGTTTTTCTAAGAGTGGAATCCAGAGTCATCGAGGACCAGTCTGACGTGCAGACACTATAAGCCCGTAGTACCCCGCATGAAGATTTCAGTTTCGTACATCCGTCCAGCCATGTAATATCCTCTATTACTATTTTACCTGAAGCCTGCTCGCAGAGAAAGCGAGAAAGAGCACTTGCCGCCTTCCAAACACCTTGGCTACTAGAAATGGAGCAAGAATTACACAAGCTCACCTGGACCCTAGAGACGTCAGACATGAATCAGGAGAGAAGCATGTCTACGGAAGCCTATCGCGAGGTCTTGCAAGATAAGCTGACGAGGTTTCACCAGAACTATGGTACGGCCGGTTGCCATTTCGCCCTGGAGCAACGAAAGCGATCATGCGTCACCCTGGGTCTCCTGAAGAAAGAGCAAAGGTTTCTTGTCACCAGCCTCTTCCAAGTCCTGCCGAACGAAGACGACTTGGGCGAATCTTTCGGATTGGATGGTCACAGAGATGGAAGCACCACCTGCAAAAAATCAGTGGATGCCGCACCTTCAATTACAGACACATTTCTTCTTAACGCCATTGCCACGCTCGCAAACGTTCAGTACAGCCTCTCCCAAGTGTCAGCGACGAGCCACTACCAGTGACTGCAGGAAGAGAAAGGGTGCTTCCTCGAGGAAGCAAAGCCAGCGAATCAAAACCTTTCGTCAAACAAACAAAATAGATAACCATTTCCCAAGTCAAAATTACGTTATTTTGTGTAATACGACAATAAAACGATGCTTGTGATGGTCCGAGTCACATTGTTGATTGCCTTTTTAGTTATATTTGAAGGATGTCTTTTTATTCTGGCATAAATGTAAAGTTCTAGGGTAAGTTAGAAAGTGCTAGGGTAACTAAGAAAGTGATCCGAATCTTCGTGCTGCACGCCTCAGCAGTGAGTTGGCAGTCCTTCCCTTTTGAAAACGAAATTCGCTATCTCTGAGAATTGCTTTCCATTGACCGTAGCCGTATCGCTCAATGCCTGCTTTAAGATAATTTTCTTCTTCGGGGGTGAACATCAGACTCTTTTTCTCGCCGGGAAACGTGATACTATAAAAGCATTTTCCCGCTCTAGTCTTGGGACACCTGAAAGACGCTCGGGTGGTGTTTCTGCGATCGTTTATCCCTCGTCGTTTGAGGAAGTATCAGTTTTGCTACCATTTCGATCTTCAGAAGACGCAGAATCGCCTGAACGCCACGAGCGCACGCCAATTTCAAGCTCTGATCCTTTGTCTCCATACAATCTGTACAAATGTTCATGTGCTTTACTTGCCACCTCGCGCGATCGTTGCTTCTGATAGTGAACCCTTGCAACAACAGAGTTATGTTTCTGGTCCTCGGAGATTGTGCTCTGCGCGTTGCTGCTCAGCTGTCTGGAACTCGCGGTCTCCACTATCTGTCGATAGCGAGTCGGGTGAACGTACTTTCCCGTTGCATCAAAGACCAGTTTACTCATTATCTCTCCCATCTTTAGGTGCTACCCTCCATTTCTTGTGGCCAGTACAAAGTCGCAGGTCGGTCTGAGTAGGGGTCGAATGTGGTTGATGTAGCCATCCAACACTTGCATGCTCGTCTCAGTCAGGTAAAGAGAATCGAAGCCATATTTGCCAGCCGTTTTGAACATTTTCTGGTCTACAAATTCACCGTTAGTCTTGGCTTTGTTCGCCATTTCCATTGTTAAATACTGATATGACATGGGGCACGAGCCCTTGACGTTTATAAAAAAAATAGACGGCCACAAATTTGGTACCAAAAGATAAATCTGTTGGCAAAACAGCACCCGGTTTCTCCTTGCATGATGTCAGCACGCTGTCGTAGCGCGGCAAGTAGTGACCCACGACTTCCAAAAGTTCTTCTAGTGTGGCCCAGTGCCCCTTGGCTTCTAAGGCATTGATGTCGAGCTCACTGGTTCACTGAAACCTCATCATTTTGGAAACGGTTTTGCCCACCTTTTGCAAGTAAATTTCTGTTGAAGTCAGCCCAGTCAATACCGATTCCGATGCTCCATTCACTTTTCAATAATCCACCAATTCTGCAATGGCATCTAAGTAGCCTATGCGTCCGGCATGCCCGAGGTTCCAATCATCCTGCATCGCATCAACAAACTTAAAAAGGAGACTCGGTGAACATAAACTAAAGTCCACATATCAAATTTGACCTCCTCTTCGTCCTCGCAACAAAATTTGAGAAACTTTAGCACTTGCTATTGATCTGTTGTGGATGTTGATCACTTTTACAGCCCCAACCACTGTCAGTGAGCCACGAAAAAACGTTCTTGGCAATTTTGTTCGTAGGATCAAAAAAGACAATTGGCCTGCTTTTGCGTCGTGTAATCTTCTGATCAATGGCTTCACATTTTCTGGTTTCATCGACATTAAGCGTATCGATTTGAGCACTGTCTGGCTTCTCGTCGAAGTAATAGTACCAACTGTGCTTGTTCTTTACGTGTTTTCTACAGCATCTTTGCGTAGTAAATCCATCGTGGTTACAAATTTGCACTGAGCAGTGAAAAACCATCACAGTCATCCTCTTCTAAGTGACGTCTCTCTGGTTAAGGCGATGCATTTGTTAACTTTGATCAGTTGACATCCTTGCCTCGTTTGTTCATCTCAAGCATTAGGTTGAAATCGATAACTTTCTAATATAATAGCAAAAGGTTCCCCAAGAGATCATCCTATTCACCAATGATATATTTGTTTACTCATCTCTGCCCACACTTGATCATTCTTGCCCCTTACCCCATTGTTTCCTCGTCCGTATTTGGTACACAATTAATCAAAAGGAACAAAGGCACAAGCCTGAACTTGCCAGGACCAGCCCCAACGAGATTAAACAGGTAGCGGGCAAGTCTCTTACTTAACTTGATTGTTGAAAGATATATGTTTTGATAAATTTCTGTGGAGAAGGTGCTGGACAGTAATTTCAGATAGCCTATGATAAATAGGAGCTATTGATCCCTATTCCTTTTTACGCTTTGCGCAAAATGGAACGCTAGTTCCTTTGTCAAAACTTCGGAACCTGAAGAGGAGGAGTAAATTTGGTAGCAACGCTAACTCAGCATTCAATTTAAACAGCCGAATTTAATTGAATCAAAAGTCGCACTTCACATGCATTTAACTCTCGCATTAAGTTCAGCACATGTGCAATTCGACGTTTTAGCCGGGCCTTAGTTATCCCACATTTCTTTGTAAAATTTCCATTGCTTACTGTTGGAATTTTTTCTAAATGTCCACTGCTACCGCGCGTGCGTCAAATTAAATTCTGGCCGTCCGCGGGGCCCTCTCTACACGAACTCTTGCTCAATCACCATGAAGGCTATACATAACCCACTTGCATTTGACGTTTTTCTTATCTTAGAAGCGCTGCTGGAAGCAAGATGGTCTGCTCTAGAAAGGAATTTTTTCATGAAATTACTGCCCCGACAGGGCCACCCAAAGTGAAAAAATTAACAACCGCCCTGGAGGAACGATTGCTGTTAACGCGAGGTAGGCCTGTTGGTCAGAGAACGACTTCGAACGAACCTTAATTCGTCACTGCCCTTTGCCAAAGTTCCCAATGGACCCAGTCCCAGGGCCATAATTTAGCCGGGAATGACTGCCGTAATACATGGTAAGAGCCAAAATTGCTTTTCTTGATAAGCCCGTCCCCAGGTTTGGTGGTCATGTTTCGCACGATTTTCCCATATTTCATTAGCTTGGTGGCTTTGCACGAAGATTTCTAAACATAAACGGTCACGAAAGTATGAAACGCAGACAGCCACTGATTTATATTACTTAATTGCTTAGGCGGCGAAGCATGCAGGGGCCGATGAATTTTCAGAAGTTTTGAGCGATATAGCACAATTGTCAAAGTTGGGGCTAGGAAACACTAATCATGACCCCAAATCCACATATTCGTGTGTCCATATTTTCTTTTTTAACTCATCTTGTTTTAACATTAAGAGTTAAATCAATAAGGTAATCCAGAAAAGGACATTTCTCGCTGGTATTGGCCTGGGTCTTTTTATAGTTTCAAAAGCTTGCGTGCCGTCAGGGTGTGGGTGATTACCTGATCCTTGCACAGACGCGGAGAGAACCGTTGGAGTTGTTACAGCCGTTGCTGGAGCTGGGGCGTTAGTAGCCAGAGTAGGCGGCGGGAGAACATCTGTGGATATGCCAGTGTTTATCGCTCCGTTAGTGCAGAAGATAATGAGGCAGTGAACAGATCAGGATGGATGGTCATTGCCGACGTGGTTAGCGCCTCTGTTGTTGATGTTAACGATCCGACGACAGCTGGAGTGACAGATGAAGATGCTGGTGTAGATAGCTCACGTGATGGCCTGGTGCCAGCGTCGAGAGCCGAAGTGGCGGGAACGTCTGAAATTTATTTTCAAAAGTAAAAGACGTAAAAGAGTTATAATAATAATGATAATAATAATAATAAAATTTTAAATCCCCTATTAGATTTTATGGAGATATACAAAATTAAGTTATGCAAATAAAACTATTAAAATGTTTTGGACTGATGTCTTCCCTTAGACATCGTTTCCATAAAACTTTCCAAAAGATCCGCCCTGTAGTGATCGCATATTGGGTTTCCTGTACCAGTGCTTGTAATGCATTGTGGGAAGAGTGTGAATATATGGCGGACTGAAATGTGCGTCGTTTTTCTAAGAGTGGAATCCAGAGTCATCGAGGATAAGTCTGACGTGCAGACACTATAAGCCCGTAGTACCCCGCATGAAGATTTCAGTTTCGTACATCCGTGCAGCCATGTAATATCCTCTATTACTATTTTACCTGAAGCATGCTCGCAGTTTTCTCCTGTGAAGCGTTCTGTGCAAACACAGAGGTATTTCTTGCTCGTATATCCTGTGAAGCACGTCCCATGGTTAAGACAAGGATTACTGGCACAAAGGTTCTAATGGAGAATAAACAAATTTTAAAATCACATTTAAAATTATTTACCTTGTTGAGATCATATAAGATAGAAAAGGTGTTATTTAGATCTCTCGAACCTATCGATAACTTCAGCAAAATTCAAGCGTTTTTTCCATCGAGGTTGGGATTTTTTTGGAATTTTCGATTTATAGGGGCGAATACACATATTTATATATCATAATTATTATCAACTTCAGTATCATTATCATCCATTTTCTTAGTCGATATCGTCACCATCATCATCTTCATCGGCAGCAGCAGCAGAAACGCATCAACGGGATCATCAGTCATCCGCCTACTTAAAAGGCTTTAGTATTTTTTTTTTATCGAGAATTAGCGATACATACATTAGGCTGTCGGTGGTTTACCTACTTATGTTTTAAACCTATTTTTCATTGGTACCTCACTGGTGCCTCTATAAATCCAGCTGTGTTTTGGTTTAAGATGTTGTGGGTGCTGTATGTGATCTGAATCACTAAGCTCACACACAACTTTGTCGTTTACAGGCGGACCAATGTTTACTGACACACATCTACTCTCCATGACACATCTGTGATGACAAGGTGTGTTTATTCCAATAGTAAGATTTAAAAACACGTGATCTGCCAAATAATGGCTATTGACCGGTGGAAGGAACTTGAGGCGACGGCAACCATCTGCAACAAAAAAGGAAGCAAATGGCCTTTCCTTGTTAGGATGTCACAAGAGCCATAATGGTTCTTGGATGTAATAAGTAGACTCTTAAGTATAAAACATTGATCGGAACAGTTGATACCGACTCTTAAAAATCAGAATCGGCCTGCATAATTGTCGTGACCGTTCTCATTGTTGCCTTTCCCTTAATGGGTGATCTCACAAAGAATACGTCAGTAGAAAGAAAAAGAACAAAAGGCAAGCTTATGGGAACCAAATCCTGATTCGCCTAAAAGAGAAATTGCATGTTCAATGCGGTGTTTTCAAAGTCAAAGTTCAACGTTCAGCTAGAAATGAGAAGAGGAGATATCTTCACAGTCTTGTAAGAGTGGTAGAGGCTGCTATCAAGCACAAGAAACAAGAGATAGTTCATAGGATCACAAAGTATTTGTGGAGGCCATTGGACTGCAAAAGCACCCATATCAGGTGCATAACGTTCAACTGAGAGGTACCAGGAAGAGCGCTGGGCAGAACACTTTCAGGAAATACCTGAAAACGGGGTTTCAGAGGACCAACTATCACCTTGATGTTAGCATCAAACCACCTGCTAAGGCGGAGTTTTACCATTAGAGATCTCTAGTATGGCAAGGGACTATGGGATACCACGCGACTGGAGCAATTCACACCACGTTCCTAAGACAAACACACACTGTCTGACTTTACAGCAAGGAGCCCAAAAGTGTGACCTACTTTAATTAATACACATTCTTTCATGAAGGCATTAACCAATCAGAGGTCGAGGACAGTTTCCAGCTGGCTTGTGACTGGATTAAATCTGCACGAAAGAATGTGAATAAATTCAAAACGGTCACACTTTCGGGCTCCTTGCGGTAACCACTAGCGAGGTATATGATTATCACAATTCTGTTTCACCAAGTAAAATCTTTGCTAACGTCACAGTGAAATATCTCTCTTTGACGGGGGGTGGAGCACTGCACCAATTCCGATGTCCGATATCCAGCATCCTACATCAATCCTGTGACGTCATTTTCTCGCCAAAAACCGTTCAAGTCGAAAAACAAAAAAACATACGTTTGTTTGGAATACAAAGATCTTTTATCCAGCAAACTTTGAGGTCGAACGGATAAAAGCTGCAAAAGTAGTTCCTAGGAGGGTGTTTCAGCCGTCATTTGCGCCCACCGTCTATGGATTGAGAACAGGCTTTATACGGTTATACGGTCAACTAACATGTTTTTCGGCCTTTCGTTTATATTAAAAAGCACCTCGGTCAATTTAGAGCTTTGCTTGAAATATTTAATTCGACGCCCACTTCATGTAAATTTTCTTGTAGGTAAGTATGTCTAGATCAAGAGGCAGTCTCGATAAACTGAAGCGTTCCACTCGATTTCGGACTCGACAAAACTTTTGCCTTCTATTTTTATCATCAATACTACTATCCATTCTAATAACGACATTGCAGTTAGAATGGGAAAATTGTTTATTTTACTGTCATTCCCAGCATTTCATTGCTGGACGACTGTTAGCGGCTAAAATATGCAAATTTTAGATGCTGTTTTCCACGGGGAAAGTTTCCCCGGATTTTGGATTCTACAAGCTAGAATTTCCCAGATTCTAGAATCCGGATACCCTTACATAGGGCGACGCATATTCATCGAGCAGTGGGAAACTTACTTTTCTTCTAACGTTCGATTTTAAAATGTGATGGATCGGAGTAACTTCTGGTCAATGCAGCTTTTTCAAACTGGACCACATTTTAAACTAGAAGAGGTTTGGTTCTGAAACGATATTTTTCCGTCTTCACATAATAGACTTAACACGAATGTTCGGGGCAGTGGAAAATTAAATGAAACTTGGAATGGTATCTTTTACTTGCTGAACTAATTTTTGAACAGTATATATCATTGGCAAAGGGAAAAAGGGAATTTTAATATAGGTTTGGTGAGAACATGAAGCATATCTTAATTAAAAGTGGGAAGTATTTGAATAACTGAGGATTTTGCTGAAACAGCGGCCAGTACTGTCACGCAACGCAAATTGAACATTAGACTAATTCTGAATCGCAATGTACCACAAGTTTTATTGCATAACTTGACAAAATAGCTATTAATCTTTAAGTAAAACATTGTTTTGTTTTGGAGAGGCTTATGTATTGAGGGAAATTTGGGTTTCAAAATCGATTGGGCTAGCTTGCAGTTGGAAGGAAACTTACCATTTTCCCTTTGTTTTACTTTGTATTCGAGGGCAAATTCCAAGTACAAGCCCACCCGGGGGCTTATATTTGGAGGGGCTTAAAGCCCCTCAAAAAAAGGCCTTTGAAAAATATAAGCCCCGGGGCTTATTTTTGCAATGAGCTAGATTAAATAACGCTACCTGCAAGGGAGTGGTTGGTTTACAGAATGAGATGAAAACAAAGGTGGTAAATAACGAAAGACAGAGTCCGGGAAAATTGGGCCAATAGATAAATACGTACAAATATATTTAAACACGAACATGATCTAAGCATTATACACAGCAAATAATCAGTAAAGTTACCTTTAGTTTAGCACTACTACAGCGTCCTAAGCTTGTATAATTGAGAATTCATGCGTTCATCATAGTAAAATTAAAGTTATTTCTCCAAACCATGCATGCAGGTGAGTCCAAAAAGAGAAACAAATTAGTGCAATATGCAGCTTATGATACCCATGAGCGGAGAACGTTCGGATAATAAAGTCTCTACTCACTTTTTACTTCCGCGGAGAACGAAGTAAAGGATTCGCGACGCTCAGGAATGTATCAAAGTTGACCTTTCTGGGACAAGATTGGGCACTTAGGACACTTAGTGAATAATATATTAAATAATCTACTTAAGAAAGTTATATAGCTACAAGAATCTCCTGTTTTTGAGTTCGTACCGGTCTCATGTAACCAACGTATCGTTTTGTCCCTGTCTCATGTAAACGAGTGCAAAACTTACAAAATCGTACCGGCCTGAGTTCGTCCCAGTCTCATGTAATTACTCCCTAAGATGAAGGATTAGCCGATTGCGCCACTGCGACCGAGGGTAGTTCGAGAAATGAAAAATAGCTATTAAATTAGTTTCGGGACAAGATTGGGCGCGCAAGTTCGTGACGTTTCGGCTTGTTTCGGCTATTTCACGCAATTAGACCGCACTACTTCGTAATATCTTGAGATCACTTCGAGTTTAGTCTTTAATTTACACGGCCGCGCAGAGACACGAAATTTCTCTTCGAGTGTTGAAAAACATTTCACGAGTGAGCGCTCTCTTCAAACTGTTTTATGATGAATTTAAAGTTAAAAAAATGCTGCACAAAGACCTTTTGTCTTTTTTGAGTGTTACATAGTAAAGTTACTTTCATGCGTTGCGTGACTTTCTCGAACGTTCTCAAAAGGTTCTTGGGTTATTCATAAATTAATTAGGGCATGTTTACATTTCCGCATAAGTCAGAAGATTTGCATCTTTTACTGAATTCATAAAACATGTCGAAAAGCTACTACTATTCGCCTGTTTAGTATTTTCTAGAACCTTATGTCAAACGGTATGATACAAGTTCCAAGCGAGTTCTTTTGACGAACTAAGGCCTGTTTCAAACGCGGTGCTACTGCCGTGCTATAAGCTGGCTTGACTGTAGTTCGACTGCAGCACGGCACTAGCACGACTTGGTTTCAGACGTCGAATTTAATTCAGTCGAATAGAACCAATGTTGCCGAAAACAAAACACAAAAATAAAGAAACGGTTTAGCAAACTTTTAAATATATTCTAGTGTATTTATAATTTATGAATTGAGTTCGGCACGGCAGTAGCACGACTTGGTTTCAAACGTCGCGCTACTGCCGTGCTAAAGTCGAATTTAATGCGATCAATTTAGTTCGGCATGGCAGTACTGCGACGTTTGAAACGGGCCTAAGTTTTTTCCTAACGCAGGTCGATATTCAAGCTCTGTGTTTACAAGTTGTCGGAAGTGGTAAGATATCTGAAGTTTAAGTGAGATTTTGTTACTATTGGCAGAGGCTGTAGTTTTACTTGAGTTCAAGTCAAGTTTGTGTTGGCGGATGCTGTGTTTTAAAGCTCTATAAAGACTATGTTCCTTTGGTATTAAACTGCCTTGTGTTAATCCGACATCCCTGCGTGCTGATAGTCAGTGAATAATTATCCTCAAAACATTCGATCTCGTAACATTGTGTAACATTGTGTTTTAGCCAATTCCTCGCTCAACGTAATTGACTCCTTACCCATGCCTTACATATCTTCAATCAGTACATGAGACTGCTATGCTGTTTTTGAAGCCTGATGTAAGAAAAATAGAGAATTCTTTTTTCACTGAGCTGTTTGGTTTGTTAGACTTGTTATATATTCCCCGCCAGTAACCTCATATTTGTCGTAGGTCTGAACGTTTAGACCCAAGTCAAATGTAGAAGGTTTACAGGATAAGGGGAAAACAGAAGTGGTAACGAGAGGAAGGGTCCGGGAAAATTGGGCAAATAGATAAATACGTACACATATATTTATACAGGAAAATGATCTATAAAGCATTTAATACACAGTAAATAATCAGTAAAGTTACCGTTAGTCTTATCACTACTACAGCGTCCTAAGATTGTACAAAAAATTGAGAATTCATGCGTTCATCATGTTAAAAGTTATTTCTCCAAACCATGCACGCAGGTGAGTCCAAAAAGAGAAACAAATTAGTGCAATACGCAGCTTATTACACCCACGAGCGCAGAACGCTCGACGGATAATAAAGCATTACTTACTTTTTTGAATAAGTGCTTAGAGCTCCAGATTTAGTTTTGCTCTCCTTGATAATGTCAGTTAAGCCAGGAATTAGACTTGGCTGGGACACTCCAAAAATCCGAGAAAATAGCCATTCAGTTGCGTTTAAGCTATCTTTGTGATGCAATGTGCGGTGGTTGCCTGAGTTAGAGCATCGCGTCAGTTTTTGCACTGAAAATCGGAAAGTAGCTAGGCCAGGTTGATCATTTAGACCATACAATA